GGTGATAAAAGCTGACGGGGATTTGTAAAATATATTGGGGAAGAAAAAGAAGTGTTTCAACTCAGAAAATGTCCGTGTAGTACATGTTGATGGCGTTCGAAGTAATTACTGACCTATTTTCGAAAATTTTGAGATCTGGGTTAAAAATCATGGCTTGATCGACAGAAGCTCTTCATTATTTGAGTACATTTTCAAGTTATAATCTATTATTCTAATCAGTAATATTAAAATTTGCTGAAGATCTATAATTCTACTGACTTTTAGTATACGATTGAAATGTGTGCACGATAATCTGGTTTAGTTCAACGTAGGATTATTTTGATTTGATCCAATTATGCATGGCGATAGTGATTTGACGTTTGATTTCAAGGCAGGTTATGTTTTCGAGCATGTTGCTGTTCTCAAAATAGATAGTACTGTCTAAAATATCAAGATTATGGCCATGGTGTGTGCTCACTGTTCATTTCGTCCGCCTGTCATCCATCACTAAAAAGATTTTCTCATTTCTTTATCCAATTCGGCGAGGTCCTTCCCTTTCCTGATGAAGATCATGCTGTTGTTCCATATTATTTTACACATCTACACAGATTTTAGATTAGCTCTTTCTAATATCTGACGAGTCGTGATGCTCTAGCCAAAACACATTATTATATTGGTAATTTTATACTTTTCACACTATTCAGCTTAAGACGAGTTGCTCAGCTGGTAATACATCGACTTATTAGCCTTTATCATTTCTTAACCCCATTGTTGCTATTCTGTCTCGTCAAATAAGCGAACATTAACTCCATTGTCTTCGATTCATCGTGCGACTTTCTCGTATTCTTCGGGTTCTTTATGTTTCTCATGACTTAAGTATGTTCGGAAGGTCAGTTAACAGGCCTTCCGTTCATTTTCGAACGCCCATAAAAAGAAGTATGTTAAGTAAGTTAAGTATGCCTAATTTAGAACAGTATTTCCAGCTTTTTGAGATAACATGTATTTCGACATCTCTTTTCTAATGAAATTCGACTTTCCTTACTAAGTACTTTCTCGGTTACTCGACCTGTAAACCGACCTATTTAAAATACAGTCAGTATTTGCTCCTCTCAGCTGATATATATATTTTTTTTAATATGACTTCCTCTAGAAATCTTCTCTTCAATGCTTAAATATATTTCTCTTCAGCAAAGCTTCTTTATGAATTCAAGAATCACTAAAAATAAATATTTTTACCTAATATCTTTTATTCCGCTTTTAATTAAATTTGAAGTTCCTGCGCCTTTTATGTTTATTTTTATTTATCATCGGCATCAATCGCACCATCCATCTGTCAAGAGCATATTGGAAACATATCCGAATGTTTGTTGAAAATTAGAACTGACAAACGCTTTAAAAAATATGAAGCAATTAAACCATGAGAGAGTCATAAAATTGCTAAAAGACAGAAAGAGAGCAGACACATTCCCCAACGCACACACACAAAAGCACACCTAGGCACAAAGACGAAAGTGTCTTCGGGGCGTCAAACATAGACGCTCCCTATCAGCAACTACAACACTTTCGAACATCTCGAGCATAGAATCTAGCCAAACAAAGACGAGGCATTTTCATTTTCAATTTCAGTTTCATTTCATTGATTTCAATATTGAGTTGAGAAAATGAGGCAACATTATTTGTATTGATCTCCCACCGCGTAACGGTAATTTAGCAACACGCTATGAGCGAAATGAAAATGCCAAGCAACGGACAAGAGCTGCTTAACCAAATCACCACCCAACCCCAAGCGGTTGGGACATCACGAACACACACACCAACACACAGACACACACGGAGATTTTTGTAAATAAATGCACGAGGAATAATGTTGTCAGCGGAATTGGCATGGTCGTGGAACCGAAGTGCTCTTAGCCGCTATTGAGAGCTTTTGCTGCCTCAGACGAAGATTCTTCTACAGTTACAGTTATAGAGTGCGAAGACTTTCATTATAAATTGCAAAGATCAGAAAAGTTTTGGGCGACGTCGAGAACACACGACGATGTGCAATAGTGCGGCATGGATCGGTTGTTGGTGTTGAAACGGTAAAAACGACGAAGCATACATACGGACATATATATACCTAAACGGTGGGTATATAGCGAAGAATTGGGTGGGGAAATAGTATAGGGGGCGACAGTGTAGTAAAGTAAAATTGAAAAATTCAAATAAAAAATAAAAGTTATTGAAAAAAATATTGCAAATTAAGAATTGAAAACTAAAAAACAAAACAATAAAAGAAAGTAGCAAAATATATATGTTAAAAAACATATATGTTAAAAAATATATATTTAAAATGAAAATTTAAAAAAATCTTAAAAATAAAAATAAAAAAATATTTAAAATAAAAAAAATTCTTAAAAACAAAAATGAAAAAAAAAAATGTTCCGAAATAAAAAAACGCCGAAAATCGTAAAAATAAGTGAAATTGAAAAGTGAAATGTGAAAAATCACTTGCAGTAAAAAAATCGTTTACACAACACTTTCGCACAGCAGTTGAAACAGCATACGATCTCGAATCGCGTTGAGAAGGTTACAGAGTTTTCAAAAGTATTCGACAAAAATCAATCATTTTAAGGGCTTATTAGTACTGAAAATTAACGCAATTGTCTGGCATATTGTGAAAAAGTCGGTTGTGTATATCTAAACGTGCATAAGTATATACCTAATATATAATATATGGAACACACACACACAAACCCATAAAGCGATAGTATATATTTAAAAGTGCGCGCACGTGTGTGTGTGTGTGTATGTGTGCTTTCGTTCGCTGAAAGTGCACACAGTTTTGAAATTATTCAGCTATTTCTGCTGCTACTTGGTGCTTCTCTTCTTCTTCTTTTTGTTGTATTAAATGGAGAGAATTTATGGTTTGTTCTAAAAGTGGAAACAAAAGTGTGTGCTTGTACACCCAACCACCAAATGTAGACATACACAAACATACATGAGTGTGCGTTTTTTGTTGTTGGCCATTGTGTATACATGATTGTGGCAATCAGTTGAAAATACAAGAAATTCGAAATAAATAAAAATAAATTGGCGAAAATTTACGTATAAAGAATGAAAGTGTGAAAGTAGTCTCAAAAAAGAATTACCTCAGAGTTAAGTGTGGAAGCAGAACACGGAAAAGAAGAAGCAGCAGAAAATGAAAAACACTAAAAATTTTTAGTTAAAAAACTATTGGAAAAAGGTGAAAATTTCGCACTCAGCAGTGTTGTAACAGCGGGGCGTACGCACACAAACATACACATTAATATATGTACAAACGTATACATATGTATGTATATATGTATGTATGTGATCGGGCGTAGCATCGCGCTTCTTGCGCCAGCATGTGGAACGCTACCGCGTGCTTTGAAATTTGCAACAATTTCATCGTTGGTGAAAAGTTCATTGTGCTCGCAATGGGCAGTTGTGCTGTCAGGGTCCATGGTGGGCACTCACCCACACATATACACACAAACACACTAATTTAGGCTCATTTATCATAAATTGATTGGCTAAAAGTTCTAAGATGGCAAACGTCAAAATATACATACAAACACACATACATATATACACACATAGGTATGTAAAGAATACGATTGGTGGCGCGACGCAAAAAGTAAACTCAACCGTTATACGATACACGTTTTCATTGAAAATGCCGAAAATTCACGCATCCGCCGTCTGCATCGACTTCCTTTCCGTCATACAAATTTGCTCTGAAATGCAAATTTTATTTTCGAAAACATTTCAATTCAAATGCATTTCAAAACATTTCCAAATCACGCA